GAGGGGAATGGAGTGAGATGAGAGGGGAGAGGTAGGAGAGTGCGTGGAGGGGAGTGGAGTGAGATAAGAGAGGGGAGAGGCAGGAGAGTGCGTGGAGGGGAGTGGAGTGAGATGAGAGGGGAGAGGTAGGAGAGTGCGTGGAGGGGAGTGGAATGAGATGAGAGGGGAGAGGTAGGAGAGTGCGTGGAGGAGAGTGGAGTGAGATGAGAGGGGAGAGGTAGGAGAGTGCGTGGAGGGGAGTGGAATGAGATGAGAGGGGAGAGGTAGGAGAGTGCGTGGAGGAGAGTGGAGTGAGATGAGAGGGGAGAGGTAGGAGAGTGCGTGTTAGGGAGTGGAATGAGATGAGAGGGGAGAGGTAGGTGAGTGCGTGGAGGGGAGTGGAATGAGATGAGAGGGGAGAGGTAGGAGAGTGCGTGGAGGGGAGTAGAGTGAGATGAGAGGGGAGAGGTAGGAGAGAGCGTGGAGGGGAGTGGAATGAGATGAGGGGAGAGGTAGGTGAGTGCGTGGAGGGGAGTGGAGCGAGATGAGAGGGTAGAGGTAGGAGAGTGCGTGGAGGGGAGTAGAGTGAGATGAGAGGGGAGAGGTAGGAGAGTGCGTGGAGGGGAGCGGAGTGAGATGAGAGGGAAGAGGTAGGAGAGTGCGTGGAGGGGAGTGGAGCGAGATGAGAGAGGGGAGAGGTAGGAGAGAGCGTGGAGTGGAGTGAAGCGAGATGAGAGGGGAGAGGGAGGAGAGTGCGTGGAGGGGTGTCGAGTGAGATGAGAGGGGAGAGGCACGCCGCTGCGTGCGTCGAGGCGAGGCGAGTCGAGGGGCCTTCTCGGGCCGCGCGCTGTCGCCCAACGGGTTCCCTGCACTTGCCGGGAGCCTGCCACGGGGCGACTTCCCAGGCTGGCCCCGAGGTCTGCGAGAGAATGGGGCGCGAATTCCCGGCGGGGGTGGGGGGGTATTCTTTCTGTCATCGGTCTGGAGGCGTCACCGACTACCATTTAAAAACAAACAAACCAAGCAAAAACAACTTTTGGGAAAAATCAGCAAGATGGTGCCAGACGGGATGGGACTCGGACCTGACGTGTGGGTGCGCACGCGGTCGATTCAGATGCGATACCGGAAATCTTTTCAACGTCAAGGGGGAATCAGCGGGAGGAGCTGGGGGGGGGGGATGGAGAGTCAGCGCGGAGGCTGCGGGAGCCGAGGCTGTGGGGTTGAGTCGCGGGGTAATTTCGGGTCACGTCGGGGAATCCCCAAACCGCTCCCACGTCGCCGAGATTTGAGAACTATGGCTGGAGGATGTTGGGCACCGTCACAGAAGGGGCCACCCACCCCCTCGTGTGCCGTGCTGGCCTTCATCGGTGCTCCCCCCCAACATTCTGTGGTTGGCACTGTCGGGGGTACCGCTGGTGGTGGTGCATCTGCCGGTCATCTCAAGTCAGCCAGCACCGTGGCACCTGCTGGGTCTGTCCCGTGACCTCCTCCTGTCAGCGGCACCTCTCGCTGTGCAGCCTCAAAGTGCACGTAGCCTGGCACAGGCGCCGTGGCGACGTCACCGTCACTTGCGTGGTGAATGGCGGGGTGTTGGTGGGTGTGGAGCGGTGGTGCCGCGGTTAGCGCTACGAACCCGGCAGCCCGAGTTCGATTCCCGCTCACGGCCAACGCCAAGTGACGATTATTTTAACCGGCCCCGGGCTTCTCCTAGGTCGACTCGGCCTCAAAAATGTGTACCTGGTGCGGTGTGTAAACATCGCCACCGGGGAGACAAAGGCGGTCGGGCGTGGAGCTGGCCACCCACCCCCTCGTGTGCCGTTCTGGCCTTCATAGGTGCTCGCTAACAGCACTTGCCCCAACAGTCTGTTAAGTCTATACGGGGGGATCTTTGTCTCTCGGCCGGCAGGTGGAGGCGCATATCTTCCTTTAAAGTTGAATCGGAGCAGACTGGGATGGAATGTCGCTCGCAACTCCAACTTTGGGTAACCCCACGATGCACCGCTGGTGCTGCACCGAATATCAACCCCAAGTTCCCTCCCACTAGTGCCCCCCCCTCCCGAAATGGCGCAATTACCCTCGTGTGTCCCCTCCATAGTTTCAGAAGGGGGAGAGAGTACAGAGGGACTCGGTGCTCTCTGGGCCACGAGACCTTCCCCCAACCCTCCCCTGCCGCCCCCCCCCCCGTTCAGGACGTGCCAGCCCTCTGATGTTCAACAATACGGGGCAATTACAGGACCACAGATCCCCTTGATTGGGGGGGGGCGTCAAATTATCCACATCTGGGCTCGCTTCTTCCCGACTTCCTCTTCTGGTGCAATTCTGCGGGTTCCCCCACACACGGTGCTTTACACTGTCATGCAATAACATTTTTGCACATCTTTGTCTGTTTATTTCTTTGCCAGTATGCCTAACATCCTCTCCCACCCCCACTCACCCACTCGCCCCTCTCACTCACCCCCACCCCATCGCGTCAGACCCAGCATTAGGGATTCCGGAAATTCGTAACTGCTCGACATCTCACGGCAAATGTTGGGCTTTGTGAGCGAGACAACATTGGTGGATTTGAGCGTTACCCCCCCCCCCCCCCCCTACTGCAATGCGTACGTTGAATTTCTTTCGCACCGCACGAAGCCAACCGTGCTCAGCGGTGGCGCGGGACTGCGTGTCGTGTCCGGTCGGGCGAGGCGTTTTGTGCCCACCCTGAATGTACGGAGGCTTTGTGCCCCGATTCTACACTTGGGGGGGGGGGGGGGGTTTCACCTCCCCCCCCCACCACAGCTTGGCCCCCTATTGCTGAACTTACGGAGGGGGATTTCACCGCGATTCTGGCCGTCTGCCTGGCGATGCTGGTTGTAATTACCGGAGAAACGTCGAACTCGAACGGTGAATTTCGTGCGACTACTCCCCAACACGGCAGCGGTGGGCTGAACTAGCAACGGAACGGCACGTTTCGTTTCCGTGACACAACTCTTTCTAATTGGCTGTGTCGGGTGGTGGCCGGTTTAACGACGCCCTCTATCATGGATAATATTGGTCGCGAAAGCCCGATTACTACTACTACGTGTTAAAACTGTCCCTAATGTTTGCTCGCTTTTCCCCCACAATCCACACTCCTCCGAGGTGGCTGAAGAACCCAAATCGATCAGCAGATGACATCGAGGTCGTCGATGGGTCTGGACGACCGCGTGAGTAGCCTTCGTAAGCTCGCCGTGCCGAGTCTACGGGTCTCCGTGCGATGATATTTATCTCTCCCTCCCTCTCCCTTGATAGCGCGCGGCGCGATATGAACCCGGTGACCCGAGTTCGATCGCCTGGCCACAGATAAAATGGGTGGCGAGGCGACGCCCGAACCGGTCCCGTGGCCCTCCCCACCGTGGCACCAACCCACAGCTGGCCAGCGTGGTGAAGTATGGTTACACCGCAACCACGACCAACACAGCATGGCGAGAAGAGAGGCCATCATCCAGCAGTGGATTGATAAAGGGGTGTGCGTTAACAGTGTACCGTTTGGCAGAGCGTTGCCGAGAAACTGCCCGGCATCGATGACGCCACTGCAAATCTGCGATGGCAGCGATGGACAACCCCGTGACCCCCCGCCCCCCGCATCTTCCGCCCCCCGCGAGGTCGAGCCGGCCGAGTCGGTCCTGGAGGGCGACGCCACAGATGTCGGAACACAACGGGCGCGTTGTGGCCGGGGCCGTTGCCAAGTGCCGGGCGGGAATAATATTCCGATTGTTGCTTCGGGCGTCGAAGTCTTCGGACTGATGCGCTTCTACTCGGAAAACTCGAATAATAGGGTCAGCTTGGAGCACTGCGCCGTCTCCACCACCACCACCACCTCCACCACCGCCAGCTCCATCACCACCACCACCGCCACCACCGCCGCCTCCACCACCACCTTCACCACCACCACCGCCACCTCCATCGCCACCACCACCGCCACCACCACCACCGCCACCACCGCCGCCTCCACCACCGCCTCCACCACCGCCGCCTCCACCACCACCTCCACCACCGCCACCTCCATCGCCACCACCACCGCCACCACCGCCGCCTCCACCGCCTGCCTCCACCACCACCTCCACCACCACCTCCTCCACCACCGCTAACCTCCATCACCACCACCACCACCGCCTCCACCACCGCCGCCCCCACCAACACCACCACCACCTCCACCACCTCCATCGCCACCACCACCACCGCCAGCACCACCGCCACCTCCACCACCACCTCCACCGCCGCCACCTCCACCACCACCACCACCTCCACCGCCACCACCTCCACCACCACCACCCCCTCCACCACCACCACCGCCTCTACCACCAGTCTCCACCTGCCACCACCGCTACCACCACCACCACCGCCACCTCTACGGCCACCATCGCCGCCTCCACCACCACCGCCGCCACCTCCACCACCTCCACCGCTACCACCGCCAACTCCACCGCTGCCACCGCCACCGCCTCCACCGCCACCGCCACCTCCACCGCCGCCGCCGCCACCGCCACCGCCTCCACCTTCGCCACCGCCTCCGCCACCGCCACCTCCACCGCCTCCGCCGCCGCCGCCACCGCCACCGCCTCCGCCTCCGCCACCTCCGCCGCCGCCTCCGCCGCCGCCTCCGCCGCCGCCGCCACCGCCACCACTACCACCACCTCCACCGCCGCCTCCGCCACCGCCACCGCCACCTCCACCGCCGCCGCCACCACCACCACCATCGCCGCCACCGCCACCTCCACCACCGCCGCCGCCACCACCACCACCACCACCACCGCCACCGCCTCCGCCACCGCCACCTCCACCGCCACCGCCGCCGCCACCGCCACCTCCACCGCCACCGCCGCCGCCGCCACCACCACCACCACAACCACCATCACCACCACCGCCACCATCGCCACCACCACCGCCACCGCAGGAGGCGCCGGGATGGAGTGAACCACAGGCGGGCTGTGCCAGAGTTTCCCCCACTCCGAGCTCTGCCGTCCTCTGTCTATATTAATTTGAAGGGTGTCACCGGCCAATTAATGATGAACGTTTATTAAACATGTGCGAAACCGGGGCGTCCGGAGGAAACCCCGCGCGTGTGCGCGCGAGGGGGCAACGCTCTATCCCCGTACAGACGGCACTGACGAGAGGAATGGTCGACGGAGGCCGGATCTCGCAGAACTGGTCCCGACATCCCACTCGATGACCCTGCTGCAGCGACGCTCTCGCTGGAACGGCGGTCAAACGGACATCACGTTGCTAAAAAAGAAAGCTGAATGTTCACCGTTTTGGGATTTTTTGGCAAATTAACTGAAGACCGAATGGAAGAATGCAGTCGTCGCGGGACTGTCAGATTGCTGTACAGGAGAACCGAGTTTAATCGCAAGGCTTTTATGTACGTATGCATACAGAGCATGAGTGCGTCTGTGTGTGTGTCTGTGTGTGTCTGTGTGTGTGTCTGTGTGTGTGTCTGTGTGTGTGTGTCTGTGCGTGTGTCTGTGTGTGTGTGTCTGTGTGTGTGTGTGTCTGTGCGTGTGTCTGTGTGTCCGTGTGTCTGTGTGTGTGTGTCTGTGTGTGTCTGTGTGTCTGTGTGTGTGTCTGCGTGTCTGTGTGTCTGTGTGTGTGTGTGTCTGTGTGTGTGTCTGTGTGTGTCTGTGTGTGTGTCTGTGTGTGTGTGTGTCTGTGTGTGTGTCTGTGTGTGTGTCTGTGTGTGTGTGTGTCTGTGTGTCTGTGTGTGTGTGTCTGTGTGTCTGTGTGTGTGTGTCTGTGTGTGTCTCTGTGTGTGTGTCCGTGTGTCCGTGTGTCTGTGTGTCTGTGTGTCTGGGGAGGGGTAGTCCGCTTCCCGCAAACGGCCAACACCGGTGACGATTATTTGAGCCGGTCCTGGGCCTCCCCTCGGTGTGGGAACATTGCCGTTGGGGAGACAAAGGCATCCCGGGCGTGATGTTGGCCACCCACTCCCGTGTGTGCCGTGCCGGCCGTTATAGGTGCAGCACTTGCCCCTACAGTCTGTTAAGTCTATACGTGGCATATTTGGCTTTGTCTGTGTGGGTCTACAGGAGTGTGTAAGGCAGGGCAACTCCAAGCAGGCGTGCATGAGCATACAGCTGTGTGTGTGTGTGTGGGATGCTATGCAAGAACGCAGCGATTGAAGGGTTTACAAACAGGTTAACATGTGCGTGGGCCTCTGCACACGAGTCTCGAGGTGTGTATGGGTCTCGTGGGTGCGTGTGCGTGGGTCCCTGAGTGTGCAGCAAAGGCAGTGGGCCACATCGGTGTGCGTGGGTCTCTGTGTGTACCTGTGTCCCTGGGTGTGCGTGGGTCTCTGGGTGTCCCTGTGTCCCTGGGTGTGCGTGGGTCTCTGGGTGTACCTGTGTCCCTGGGTGTGCGTGGGTCTCTGGGTGTCCCTGTGTCCCTGGGTGTGCGTGGGTCTCTGGGTGTCCCTGTGTCCCTGGGTGTGCGTGGGTCTCTCAGTGTACCTGTGTCCCTGGGTGTGCGTGGGTCTCTGGGTGTCCCTGTGTCCCTGGGTGTGCGTGGGTCTCTGGGTGTCCCTGTGTCCCTGGGTGTGCGTGGGTCTCTGGGTGTACCTGTGGCCCTGAGTGTGCATGGACTCCCCGAGTGTGCAGCTAAGGCAGTGGACCACAGAGGTATGCAATAGGTCTCTGTGAGTATGTGTTGGACTCGGGCATGTACCTGGGTGCCCGGGTGTGCACGTGTTCCCGGGTGGATGTGCAGCGAAGGGTGCGTGCGTGGGTGCGTGCGTGCGTGGGTACGTGCGTGCGTGGGTACGTGGGTGCGTGTGTGGGTGTATGGGTGGGTACGTGGGTGCGTGCGTGGGTGCATGGGTGGGTGTGTTCGTGCGTGGGTGTGTGTGTGGGTGTGTGGGTGGGTGCATGGGTGCGTGGGTGGGTGCATGCGTGTGTGGGTGTGTGCATGGGAGCATGTGTGGGTGCGTGCGTGTGTGCGGCTAGGGCAGCACGGTGATCTTCTTCTCGAGCCGCTGTTCGGGGAAGAGGCCGCCCCGGACGACGCCGTCGAGCTGGGCGAGCGCGGTCTGCGCGTGCGCCGCCGTCGCCGGGTCCCCGTCGCTCCACGCCGCGTGCTTCAGCAGGCGGTAGAGGTCCCGCAGGACGTCCCGGAGCACCTGGGATGGCGGACAGGGAGGAGACACAGAGACAAAGAGATGAGAGAGGTGAGGGAGTGCCGGGGGTGGTGGGACGACGGAGATCCGCACACTGCGGGATGATAGCGAGCGCCTGCCGAGTTCGGCACGCTGGCGATTGCCGTGTCGGCCAAACGCAAGCGGGGCGGGCGGGGGGGGGGGAAGAAAGATAAAAAAACGAACCGAGCAAATTAACGTCGGGAGCCATGGCAGCGTAACCACCGCCGTGACTTCCTCTGTTTTCTGCGAGGAGTGGCGGTGACGGGAAGGCAGGCAGACGCTCCGGCTGATTAGATTGCCGACACCCCCAGACGGGCGATGCGGCACTCCCGCTCGTCATCCGCCTGCTGGATTATCTGTCTCTCCGCTAACCTGTCTGTATTCCTGCTTGCCCCGTCTGCCTGCTGTCTTATCTTGCCACCATTCTGCGTGTGTCTGTGTCTACAATCTGATTTCAGGCCGACCACGGGGCTGGATAAACGTGGGGGGGGAATGGTGGTGCAAGAGTTTGATGGCAGCACCAGGAAGGCGAGGCGGGGGGGGGGGGGGGCAGCAGAGTAATTGCAGGATGTGGAGGAGGGCGTCTGTGAATATGGAATGAGTTTGTGTAAAATCCTCCAGGACCCACGGCCACGGCTTACACAGCGCAGAGTATCCTAACCTCTGGGACACACTGGCGGAGGGGAGAGAAGAAATATTACCGTCCGCGAAACCCCCCCACCACACACCGCCTACCACCCCCGGGCAATCGGTTCTCGAAAGAGAGGCAAATAAATACGACGGCCCACGTGCCGGGCCCCCTCGCGGGGTCCGCAAGCGCCGGCGAGACGCGACGGGAGGCCGCAGGCGCGCGGGCCGTGGGCCCGCGCGCCTGCGGCTCCGTCTCCTGCACAACGTCGCCAGTCGCCCGTGTTGATTCCTCGTTGCTCGTTTTCCCCCCCGATCGTATTTTGTCTCCCGAGCGGAATTCTTAAGAAAACCGCAAACACGAGAATTAAAGTTGTAAGGAAGTGGCTATTGCCAACATTAAATCTGCTCTTTGCAGCCGCGTTGGGCTACAAGGAGGCCCTCGTTTTTGGGCGGCGCTTGGGATTACCTGGTTTATTTAGTTTATTTGGTTACCCGCGCACGCATGCTTGGCTAACTGACGGTGTGCGCTCATCCGGCCCGTAAATCTGCGATGGCTCCAAGGAGACTTCTGGGTTGGCTTGGCGTTTGAGACGCAATCAAAAGTCAATAAATGAGAACGCAATCAAAAGGTGGAGCGGCGGACTAGGGCCGTCACGCGATGCGGCTTTCGCGACATCGCGGCGACCTCTGGCATGGCCAGAGGTCGGATGCCGGCGGGCCACTCTGGTTTAATACCGTGGTGATTTCTTGTTCTCTACAAATACGACCAACGACGGACACGCGTCTCCAGGTTCGCGGTGGACGTTAACAAAACAGATCCCCCCCGCCACCCCCCCCCCCCCGTGAGCCTCGTTTGAGAAGTGTGTGGGCCATGGACGTCACGGGCCACATTTTTTAAACTACAATGTACATGCTTGCTGTGGATCGTCTAAAACAACCGTGGATACACACGGCGCCGAACGATGGAGTACATCGCAAGGCGGTAGTCTCGTGAGTGATACGATCTTTCCAGGGGGGTGGGGGGGAGGCTGTGACGACGCGCGAGGAGGAACGCAAGCGGTGACGAGCCACGCTCCATGGGAAACATGGCCTCATTCCCGCGACCTCGTGGTCGCGTTGCCGTCTCGCGTGGTGGTGGTGGGGCTGGAGGGGCTGGAGGGGCTGGTGGGGCTGGAGGGGCTGGAGGGGCTGGAGGGGCTGGAGGGGCTGGTGGGGCTGGTGGGGCTGGTGGGGCTGGTGGGGCTGGAGGGGCTGGAGGGGCTGGAGGGGCTGGAGGGGCTGGAGGGGCTGGGTTGGACTGAGGTCAACTCAACACCGCGGCGGGTGGCCGGGCGAGATGATCGGCGCGTCCCTCGGGGACGGACGCGAGGCGCTGACCATTCTCGCGGTGAGGCGGTGGCCCCGATGCCCAGACGCCCCGACAGTCACGGTGCTCCCCCGCCCCACCACACCCCCCCTCCCCACCACCCCCCCCCCGAACTCCACCCACTGTTGGGTCGTGACGTCAGGAAAAAAATCTCAACGGGAGTTTGCACGTGCGGAGTCACGCACGGGGACGCACGTGTTGGACAGGCGGGGGGGGGGGGGGCGTGGGGGATGAGTCCCTCCCCCTGTAAACCGCCGCGATAAAAAAAGGCGAGAGAGAGAGGAGTAAACGGGGCAAGTTCAAAAAGCCATCTGCCTCTCGGGAAGAGAGAGAGGCCTTCGGGAAAATAAACAACGGTAATGGGGTGATTCGGGTGGGGGGGCGCCCCCGTTGTAAGAAGAAGCAAAAAAAAGGCAGGCAGCAAGGCGATCGAAGGAGAGATAGCGCCCACGACTAAAAGAGGACGGGAGAAAAGTTGAAATCTGAGGTTTGAGAAATGTTCGTGCGGAACCGCGGGGTCACGAACGCGACTCGTCGCCGCGAGCCGGAACGTACTGGGGGGGGAGGGGGGGGTGGCGGGGGTGGCCCTCTCGGCGTGCGGACGCACCGGCGGACGTACTGGCGGACGTACCGGCGCATGCCGTGCCCGTGATCATCATCGTCCGAAAAGTGGGTCAAATTTGGCGGGTGGCTCTAAAACGCCGCCGATTTTGAGGAATGCGCCCGGTCCGCGCCCCAGAGCATCGGGACGCGTCGTCGCGCGGCCAAAACATCTCAGACTGGGTGTGACTGGGGCAGGGAAGGGAGGAGGAGGGGGGAGATGAGTGGCAACGTAACGCCGCGTTGTTTTTTTCATCACCACTTCACGTTGGGGTGCAGCTGTGATGCGTAGCCGCCCGGGGCAAATGAGCTCATGGCACACATTTCTAGCGCACTGCGACGACAAATTTCGTCGTCCCTCCTCCTCCCTCCCTCGCCGGCTCGTTAAACTCCGCACGCCTTGCCAGAGCCTGCCATCGTTAGTGCCGCGATCGCTGCGCGCTGGAGCTGGTGGCGCCGGCGGCGCCGTGCCTCACGCGTTGTCCCGCGAGCCTCGCCGCCCCGGGTTTGAGAGAGGCGATGTATCTCTCTCGACCGGTCCTCGGCGCAACCTCCCCCCCCCCCCACCACCCCTGGCTTCCTTAACCCCCCAACGATGGTGAAGTGCGGCCAAACAACCCCGTGGCCGACGGATTCGCCGACGCTTTCCACGGCGCGCGCTTGGCCCTCGGGAAGCGGTTAGTTAGTGATAACGACGTCACGTGTCACTGATTCTGTGAATAATTTTGGCACTGGTTCCACATTACACACGGACGGACACAGCTAAGGCGTCAACGCCTTCAACCTTAGTAGTCGCGTACGATTAAAATAAAATCTGGGATCAAAGTCTCAAGAGAAACACTCTCTTATAAGCGTATAGTGGCATATGTACAGGGTGTTTTAAAAAGATAGACACAATTTCAAAGCAGTATATTTCACGATGGCAACATTTTACAATTACACAAAAGTTACAAACGGTTTAATGAGTTATCAAGTTTTACTAACCATTTTATAAATGCTCTATGTGCCCTCCAACTGCTGTACGGACAACATCGAGACGATCGTTGAATTCGTCCCAAACGCCTCTCTTCTCGCGTGTTCCTCTGAGGTGCGTGGTTGCCCTGTGCTCTTCCCCGCACATTAACAACCCGTTTCCTCAAATTGTCGCTACCAACGACGAATGCTCTTTGACATTGGCGGATCAATGCCAAAACGTCGTTGAAACGCACCCTGCACCGCAATAACGGATTCAGTCTTGCTGAACTGCAGAACGCAAAACGCCACTTGTGTTGCGGGGGTCACCGTCTTGTGAATGACTGAGGCTAGGGGCTGTTTGTGCGCTGGGAGAGGCATCTAGTGATAACCAATTGAAACTCTATGCCCCGCCCTCTCTATGCCCCGCCCTCTCTATGCCCCGCCATTTCAAGTGGTAAGAGTTTCATTCATGGACGGTTCGTGGTTGAAGAGATATAGCGATTTCAAATCGGAACCATATTTTTAAAACAGTCTGGATTGTAAAATAAACTGTACATCCATTTGACAATACACTGCTGCATGAAGGGCCTTCCCGTTCCGTATCGGTCATGTGGTTCGTCGAGCATACTTCACCATGCTTCAGCATGGATTGGTGCCACGGTTGGCAGGGCGGGCCAGGGCCGGTTCAGATATCGCCCGCGACTCATATTGGCCACGTCTGGGCATTCAATTAGGGTCATCGGGGTTTTACGGGGCGGTGCGTTCCACAGGATGCTCGCACAGCTCGCGCCAAAGCACTTGAGCTGGAGTCGAATCCACGTCTCAAATGCACGTCTCAGCCGTCTGTGATTAAAAAAAAAACCCGTGTTCCTCAAGCGTGTTGGAGCGCATCACGGTCACCGATGGACTCCATGACTCCGTGACTACGTCTCGTAAACAACAGAGAAGATACTTGTCATATTGGCTCATTTCATCTCTGGAGCCAGCTGCGGGCTGCAGCGGCGCTGGCGAGCAAAGCGGGGGAAGGGAATGGGAGAGACGAGGGATGAGACCGTCCCCCCCCCCCCCAGGTGCTAACCGTGGCCGCGAGCCCCGGAGCGGCGGGACGGGCCGAGTCGACCGGCCTCCCTTGCGCCGGGACCGGCTCGTGGGAGCCGCTTCTCCGCTTCTCCGCCCGGCGACTCGGGAGGCCGCCCGCCGAGCGTAGCGGACCGCCGAGTGGACGCGCTTCGCCACCCCGGCGGCTCTCCTCGCCGTGTGCGGATGGAGGTGAAACGCTAGGGCCCCACGATCGGCCCGGTGGGGTAAAGCGTAGGCGGCCTTCCCCCCCCCCCCCCCCCCCCCCCCCGGACCGCCCCCCACCCCCTCCTTTTCCAGGGCATTCTGGGCAGCTGTGGAAGAGAAGGCCAAAGTACTCTCCCCCCTCCCCCCC